TTCGCAAGTTATAAAATTTTTGTCCGGGATTAGCCGGTACTCTATCCGGGGTATGATCGACATTTTTTCCGGGGTATTTTAATAGCCAATCAAAACGAACTTCCACTATGCTAGAAATTTCTATTTACAAAAAAAGGTAATTTTAAACACTAGTTGTTACATAAAATTATTTTCTCAGTATATTTGTTTATATTACCTTCTGTTCTTCCTATATTAGAGATTCATTCAAACGTTCTTCTGAGACGATACAACATTTGCTTATCCAATTCGGAATCCCTCTTTCTAAAGATTCATCACTTTCATCACTTGAAGTCATGTCAAACAAAATATGTAAGTTTTTCAGTTAATAAAGTTTAATTTATACAACATATTAACTTGTATAATATAGTAATTGAATATTCAGGGGAATTAAAGTCGTATTTGACTAAATACGACATAAAAAATTTTGATTATTCACAATTTCGCAATTTCCAAATTATTGGGAGTGGAGCATATGCAACAGTTTACTCGGCTACTTTTAAAGAAGAAGAGTATGCATTAAAAAGCCTAAAAAAAAACTTGTCATTAGATGAAAAAGAACTCAATCAATTACAACGTGAAGTAATATTCGTTCCTTATTTGATATTTGTATTTTATTATCCAAATTACTAAAATGCTATTTAATTGAATATAATAGCTTAAACTTCTTTATATAACTAATCATCCCAATGTTGTAAAATTCTATAGAATCTCACAATGTATTATTATGATCAATTTTAAACAAGCGTAATCTTAAACAGCAATTCTGATTTCAAATCTTTATGAAATTTAAAACTAACGGAGGATAATTTTATGTTGGTGTTGCAGCTTGTCACTGGTGGTAACCTACGGGATCATTTACAAACTAAGAAAGAAAAGAGTATTATGAAATTTCATGGACAGATCTCATTCAAATCGCGAAGGATATCACATTTGGATTGATGCATTTACACGAAAAAAACATCATTCATCGAGATTTGGTAAGTTATATAGCATCTAATTCGTATATAATTTGAATTAATGCAATATTGTACAAAATTTCTTTAGCATGCAAAGAATATACTAATAAATGATGGCAGAGCTTTGATTACTGACTTTGGAATATCAAAACAATTAAATGATACTACTGCTTCAAGTTCAAATATGGGAGGAGTACCAGCATATATTGAACCACAATACTATCTCCAACATAAAAAACCAGATCAAAAATCCGACATTTATAGTTTAGGTAACTCTATATTCTCATTATCTTGACAAAATATAATTTTTAATATTATATATATATTTGATATTCTTTTAGGAGTTTTGCTTTGGGAACTCTCAAATGGTGTTCGTCCATTTCAACATTTTTCTGATCCACAAATAGTAATATTAATTTCGCAAAAAAAAAGAGAAAAAACTATTAACAATACTCCTCCAAATTACGCCACTCTCTACAAGAAATGCTGGTCTACTGATCCGGACAGACGCCCAACACTGAATTATATATTAAAGGAACTTGAGAAGTTATTAGTTGAACCATGCATTGAATCCATCATAAATAACATAAATCAAATAATTACACAGCCTGAATTATATCCTAACGAAGACGATTTAAATGAATTTGAATACGATCGCTGCATTGAATGCGAAAATAAAATCGACAGGTAGTTATAAATTTGCTTAATTATTTTGAAAATCATGCTTTTGGTGGATTTCTTTTCTTAATCAAACAACTTATAAATATAAAGCTCATATTAAATTTTATATACAGTGAAGCCTTTTAAGTGCATGCTATTGGAGAAGCTGCATAGGCTTAATGTAACAATATTTTTAGGGAGCTGATATTTCCACACCCTCGTAGATCACTCATTTTTAAAACTTTAATCGATGAAACTCGATGAAAATTTTTTTATTTGAATTCTATGAATCTGAATAAAGAAAAGTTCATAGAGTTTCATCAGATTATTGGCAAGATTAAATTTTGGAAAATTTTTAAACGTTTATCAAAATTTAAATTGCGGCAAAATTTTTTATAATTTTAGTCAAAAGTATCTCGAAAATCACTTTTATTTGAACTCTATAATTCATAGAATTCAAATAAAAGTTCATCAGGCTTTAGTGGATGGATTTGAGATATCTACTATGAAAGTTTTAGAAAAACTTTAAACGATTACTAAAATGTAAGTTCCCCCGATGAAATCCGATGGATTTTTTATTTGAATTCTATCGAGGTACTTTGATTAAAATTTTAAAAATGGGATCTACATGGTCAAAAGGGATGTGAAAATATCATTTCCATATCTTTATTGACAACCCATATCTATAAGAGAAATATGCACTTGTAACATGTGCGCTTAGAGATGCTTTACTGTAATTTGTGACTTTATAATTCCGTTAAGAAACTGTTGTTTTAACAATTAATAATTTCCTTTTTCTATAGTCTTATTCTCAACAGTCTACCATTAAATGAACTTTCCTTTCGTATTAAGTCTCAAAGTCATGATGGTTTCACATCGATTTCTACAGAACAGCATAAGATGATAAAGCCTATCGAATTGATAAATGGAAATTTGGTAATAGAATGCCCTGTGCATTCAAGCTTGTTAGCAAATGGTCCTCAAGATGGTTCAAAATAATTTACACATATGAGACATACTGCCTGCACAAGCAAGCCAGACACTTTCAAGCAAGAAAATTTTACTCTCCGTCAAGCTAATGCGAACCGATGAGACAGACTGAACTATTTATCTTAATAACTATAAACAATGTAAGAAATTATAAACCATAGTAGCAACTTTTAATAATGATGCCTTCACTGTATTTTAATAGGAAGACGAAATTCTACTATCTAGCACTCTTCACGGAATTATAGAAAATATTGCTTACTTTTGCTCTCTAACAGAGTCCTCAACTTGGGTATGTAATTATTGTTGCGGCTGATGCTGAAATTTAGGGTCCCAATTTAAATCTATAATACCTACTAAAATTCACATATACTTTTTTACTAAC